GGGCTGGGGCTTGTATCTTACCCCCTTCACAAGGCGCTGGGTTCTTGCAGGTGTGGATGTGGTCTGGATGTTGTCCTGTGTCCTGTGGTCTCTATTTTAGGAAGATTTTTCTTTGTTATATTTTCATAGCTCTATGTGTTTTTGGGAGGAGATTTCCACTGCTCTACTCACGCCGCCATCTTGGCTCCGCCCCCAGAATGTATATTTTACTTACAACACAGTACGTGTATGTACAGGCATGATCACACACACGTGACTTAAAACATGTACCTGATTTCACAAAACAATGAGCTTCTGCAATATGCTCTGATATTTTAATATTTTCCTATTTAGCTGCTTGAGAGCGATTACTTTATTTCCTGTCCTACCAATAGGTTGACATCTGAAATTTGAAAATATCGTTGACCAGACTGCTAAGAACTCCTGGATTCTTAATAAAGGAGCAGAATTCTGGAATCAGCAAAATCCCTCTAGGGATGTTCACCAATATTCCCATTCTCCTCTCCTACTCGGCAGGTGGTGGGATTTACTTCCCTCCATTTTGAAGTAGCCTTGGAGCCCAGGAATCTGCATTCTAACATGCAAAGGAAGCTGTGAGACAGGAAGTTTGAGAAACAGTGACACAGGTGATGAACTCTGAGAGGACAGGGCAGAGCCCCTCTTGGCCGTCACTGTAACCCCAGCAGGACCCACCACAGGGCCGGGCACTTTGGTAAAACATGTTCAGTGAATGGTTTTAACTTCAGCCCTTTTTTTTCATGTACCTGATCTGGCCCCTCCCCACCACACCAGCCTCATTTCTTGGCAGATTTCCCCTTGAATTTTCCTCTCCAACCAAATGGGACTATTCTTGGTTTAATGCATTTCTCACCTGTGTCCTCTGCCTATGCCCTTTCCCTCTTCCTTTCACTGATCAGTTCTGACATCCTTCAAAATGTAGCTCAGGTGCCCCCTCCTCCAGAAAGCCCTCCTTAACCTGTCTTCCCAGGCTGGGCTTCCCGTCTGAGCTCCTCCCTTCCAATGCTTCTCTGGGTCATCAGTGTCTGTCCCCTCACTGGACTATGAGCCTAGGGTGGCAGGAGCTAGACCTGTCTCAGTCACGGCTGGGTACCCAGTACCACCCAGGGCAGGACTGGGCTCACAGAAGGTGCTCAGAAAACATTTGCTGAACACGTGGATGCACATCTGAGGGAGGAGGAGAGGCCGTATCCTCTGGGGCCTTCTGATCACAGGTCTGATGGAGAAGGCTGAAGGCCTGGACATTGCTCAGTCCCCATCTGTTGTCAGACACCAGTCTTCTCCAGGAGGACACCCTCCAGAATGATACCCATTTCACAGGTGGGAAATTGAGGCCAGGAAGGGCCTCTCTGTTTTGTGGAGCCCAGATTTCCCACTGCTCAGTCCAGCCTCCTATGGTCCTTCTCACCTCTTCTCACCTCTTTCCCAGAGACCCTGGCCTTTTCTTTTTTTTTTCCCAATGATGAAATCTGAATCTTGGTAGGAGGTTTGACTGTGTGGGAGGACAGCTGGCTGAGACCAGTTGGTATATTTTCTTCTCTAAACCTGAGGAGGGCATGGGGTGGGACACTCCTGGCCAATCTGGGACCAAACCCCAAACGCTGACCTCTTGGCCCGACCCATCCCACACTCCCTGCAGGTTCTGGGATTCAGGAGTCCCTGAACCCTGCAGCCTCCTCCTTGCACCTCTCCTCCCTGCCTGGGCCACATCTTCATACCCTAGGGCTTTGATCACTGGGACGTTTTCCAGAAGCTTCTTTGCCCCCAGGCAGGCCACCTGCTACTACAGGCCCTGAAACCAGCTGCTGGGGCTCGCCTGGTGCCTCTCAGCTCCCTCTGCCTGTGGGCCTGGGACTTGAACACTCCTGGGAGGGGAGCCCAGTCTGTGTCTGAGGGAAAGTATGAAAAAGGCCTTTTTGATTTTATTTTAGATAAAATGTTGATCTCAAAAGTCTTCACTGCTGAAGACACCCTGACTCTGGTTTTCCAGGCACCACCACAGTTCCTCAACACACACAAACTTGGTTCACTTCCCCATTATCTGAGGCAGATGATACGACTATTCCCATTTCACAGTTGAGCAAACCGTGGTGCTCATGCTGAACTGCAAAGCTACAGTTTTCTTCCCTGAAAGCAACCACTTTGGGCAGCGTCTATGCATTCTTGTAGAGACACTCAGTGCATTTGAAACAGAAGCTGCTATATATTCTTCTGTTTGTCCCCATAGACAGTAAGGTGCCCTGTGCTATACACTTCCTGAACCTTAAGTTTTCCTCCCTAATTTCTTGACCACCTGATTTATTACTGAAAAGGGCTCTCAGCCAAGTTCCCCATCTGTCTCATTCCATCTGATGTCTCTCAGCACTCTGTTCTGTGGATGTAGTTTGTTAAATGATTGAGGGAATGAATTAGTGAAACAGACAGGTGCCCAGCTGAAGCATTTGGACTTTATCCAGAGGGAAGATGCTGGGGCCACTCAGTGGGTGGGGGTGACTATGTTAGATCTTGGGAACATTCCAGGCTCTTCTAAACTTTGGGCTGTTGCCTGTAGTGTTCTCTTTGCCTGGAATACAGATTCCTGGGCTTGGTCTAACCCCTTCCTATCCCAGCTGTAATGCCTCCTCTTCCAGGAAGCCCTCCCTGAACCCCAAGCCAAGTCAAACATCCCTCCCTCGTTCCACTGTCCCAGCCCTGTTCAGTCTGCATCATTACTCTCTGGGGATGGGTCTGTCTTGGACACCACTGGGTCCCTGGCACCACCATTAGTGCGCAGAATAAATGATGGTCCATTGAAGGAAATGTCTGTATGTGGGAAGGAGCCAAATGCAGGAGTAGCCATGGTAACCAATAGGCATTCGCGGCATAGACCAGGACCACAGATACCTGAGTTAAAATCCCCTTTCTGCTACCAAATCAGTGAAATGGGAGAGTGAGGTCCCAAGGCTTAGTGGAGATACACCAAACAGCACTTCAAACAGGGCGGGAAGCCCCTCCTACTGCTGCCTGATGGCTTTGAAACTGCTCTTTGCTCTCACTGGAATGTTCTTCCCATACTGTCCCAGTGGGCTCCTTCCTGTCATGCACGTCTCACTGCAAATGTTACCTCCTCAAAGTGGTCTATCCTGACCGTGCTATCTGTCTTTGCCATGCAACACCTGAGCTTTCTCCAGCACTTTCCGCCTGACAGCCCCAGTTCATCTCCTTGTGTCTTCTCACTAGAAGGTTGTCAAGGAGCTTCGTCTTTCTTTTCTTTTTCTTTCTCTCACTGCTGAATCCCCAGCACCTTGGAAAGCACTTGGCCTTTAGTAAATGCTCAAGGACTATTTAGAGAATGCATGGAATACTCAGGAATTGTGCCCTCTTATTTTGTATCCAGGGTCACAGTGTGCATGATCAAATTTTTATGCTCATTTTGACTCTAGGACAAATGGAACTGATGTTCAACTGGGAAGGGGTGGAGCTGGAGTCTGCACCCATGTCTGTGCGGCTCTAGGCTCCACACTCTCAGTGTCCAGCACAGAACCAAGCACACCAGGCTTTAACAAGAGTTTGTTGAATGAATGTGGCTTCAGAATTCAGTGTGGGATGGGAGGTGGGTGGTGTTAAGAATAGGAGGATTTGGGAGGGGAGAGTGTCTGAGAGACACAGGAGGTCTTCAGGACTGCGGCTTGACCCCAATGCCTCACATTTTGCAGGGAATCACCACAAGCTCTCAAACTCCTTCCAGAAAGTCTAGGGCTGGCAGTGACCATGATGGAGACCTCACCACTCGGGCCCAGCAGCGTCTGGAGCTGGTCCGGGCCTCAACCATGTTCTTCAATAACAACGATAATAGCAGTCATCTTAGCAGTACTACTTAACTTTATTAAGGGGTACCCTGTACCCTGCCTGAATGTTCTGAACATATCTCAGTTGATCTACACAGCACAAAAGGAGTTTTGCTCTATTATTCTTCCTCCTGCTTTACAGATGTGGAAACTGAGGCTCACTGAGGTTGTGTCTTGCCTGAGGCCCCACAGCTGCTGCAGGAGTAAGCTTCTGAGGTTATCACTATCCCTAATCTTGGAGCAAGTGTGAAAACCTGAAATGTTGTCAGATAACAGGACAGGTGGGGAAGGAAGTAGGATTTCAGCACTGCTATGCAGAGCAGGGAGTCATGATTGATTTCCTGGAAACATCCACGTGACCAAAAAGGATTTAGGGAGGCGGCCCCGCAGGTAGGGTTAGGCCCTGGCAGGTAGGCGAGCAACTCCCAGCCTCCCCAGATGTGGCCTCAAGTGACTTCCTTTGGCTGTAAGCCTCCAAAAGTTCCTCTGGCCAGTTTTACCCATCTGGAGAATGGATATAATATCAGGCCCAACCTCTCCAAGAAGTTATGAAGAGTCCAGTGAAATCACCCAAATACTTTTGTCAAAAATTAGCTAATGGCACTTTTTTTTTGCACTTTATTGTATGTAAATTTTACCTAAAAAGAGTAAAGAACTGTGTGCAAATATTGAACTCTGATCAATTAATGCACATGGGGTGATGTGTTAAAGGGAAAGCACACTGATGTGTGCAACTTACTTTGGCATTCATCAAAAAAGGTAAATGGACAGACCGAGAGATCAATGGATAGAAGTAGGATTTAGAAGTATTCGATGCAGTAATTGTAAGCTCTAGGAGGAAGGAAAATGGGTGCTGTAAAATACTTCACAGTTTTGTGTACGTTTGAAAACTTTTGTAATGAAATACTGAAGAAATTTTCGGTGAAACATTCGTAAATGTATTAGCACAGTCATTAATTTGAATTATAATTTTTACTGGCTGAATTGCCAATTGGGTACCCTGGGTGAAGTGGATTACAATCCCAAATATAATAACTGCCATTAATTGCTGGGTCAGAATCCGAATTGGGAACACTTACTTTAAAATTATTGACATTTTAAAATTAATAACTCCATCTCACTTATATTTTACACCAATCATATGAGGGATGAGCTTTTTAATCTGAGTTTTACGTTAGAGGAATTCAAATCCCCAAAGGAGTCGGAAGATGGAACTCAGGGAGGAGACCCAGGAGGAGCAGGTTTCCAAATTAAGCGCCGGCGGATCACTTGCACTTTGTGGACACCCTTGCGACTACGTTTAGTTGTAGTTTAGGGGTCCAAATACGCCCAATTCCTTTGGCGGGGAAAAGCGTCTGCCCGACTGCCCGCCCCGGGCCCCACCCTCACCCGGGCCGCGCCCCTCGGTCCGAGGAATGCGGGGACCTCCAAACGCGCTGCAGCCAATCAGCGCCCTCGGCCAGCCCCCCACCTTCTCAAAGCCTCACCCCTGCCCTTAATCCCTGTGCGTTCCGCCAACGACGCTCAGAGCCGCGTGGCGCGCGTAGCAGGTTCCCTTTGGGCTGATAGCCGTCATCTGGGATCCTGGACCGCCGCCTTCCGCACCCAGGGGCCTGGATTTCCCTTCCCGGCTCCGGGGAATTGGCTCCCCATTTCCTGGAGCTGCGCCTCCCGGGCCCCAGACTCGGGCTCCAGAGCCCTTGGTTTCCAGGACCCAGGCACCCTAGTCGCCGCCTTCCGGATCCAGGGATCCCGGGTCTGCGCCTCCAGGAACTCTTGAAGATGGCTGCCGTGGGGGCGCCTTCTTCAGCAGTCAAGGACCCCAGGTTCCAGCCTGAGAATCTCCCGTGTGCCTGACGCCCAGGAAAACCCAGGGGTTCCCAAGTCACGGTTTTGGGGCACCGGACATAGTCTAGAAGATCAGAGCCCCAGCGCCCAGCCTAGCAGTCCCCGACACTCCAGCTCCCAAGGGCCAAGGAACTTAGGCGCTGCGAACTCACCACTCCAAGGAACCCTCCCGAGTTCCGCCTCCAGGCTCTGTTACTCGGCTCAGTTCTGAGGAACGTGTACGTCCTGGGAAGGACCCCAAGAAGCTCCCAGCTTCCGGGCGCTGGGGAGCCCCGAGGCATCCGTCATGATGGCCGATCCACCCAAGGGAGACCCCAAGGGGCTCGCGGCGGCGGAGCCCACCGCTAACGATATCCCGGAGTTTGTCCCCACAGAGGACCCGGGCGCGGCGGGAGGTGGCTGCTGCGGTTCCCGCGACCAGCTGCGCCGCTGCCTTCGCGCCAACCTGCTGGTGCTGCTGACCGAGACGGCCCTGGTGGCGGGCGTGGCGCTGGGGCTAGGGGTGTCGGGGGCCGGTGGCGCACAAGCGCTGGGCCCCGCGGGCCTGGTGGCCTTCGCCTTCCCGGGCGAGCTGCTGCTGCGCCTGCTAATGATGATCATCTTGCCGCTGGTGGTGTGCAGACTTATTAGCGGCGCCGCCAACGTGGACCCGAGCGCGCTGGGCCGCCTGGGCGCCTGGACGCTGCTCTTTTTCCTGGTCACCACACTGCTAGCGTCCGCGCTCGGGGTGGGCTTGGCTCTAGCCTTGCAGCCAGGCGTCGCCTTCGCCGCCAGCAGCTCATTCGGAGCCACGGACGCCGTGGAAGGGGCCTCCAGCGAGGAGGTGCTCTATTCTTTCCTGGATCTTGTGAGGTTAGACCCCGCCCGCCCGGTGGAGGGGAGACGGGGCTACTTCAGCCACGTTAGGGATGGCGGGAGGGACCGCGTGAACAGGGGGAGCTTTGGGTCCTCCACAGCCTGGGCATCTCCAGGGCCCCAGAAGGACACGACGGGACGGATGGTGGGGGAAGCTCCAGCCCTCTGAGGGGTCAGGGTACAGAAGGTGAGGGCACATTGGGGGAGGGAGGCTTTTGAGTATGCGGCCTGGGGCTCTAAGAACCATGAGGGTGATAGGCAACAGTCCTGGACGGAGGAGGAGGAGAAGTGCTCAGAAGGGTCAGGAACACAGACGAGGGTCTCTCCTGAGGGGAGGGGATCCTGGGGGGAACCTGGAAGGGGATCTTTGGGCAGCGAAGGCTCCAGGATAGGGCTTCTGGGTAAAGATCTGAGTCTAGGGTCAGAGGGCTTGGGGCCCCTGAGTAAGGAGTCCCTGGAGGGTCTGAGGACACCCGAGTGACACTCCCCAGGCCCCCTTCCAGCCCCAGAGCTCCTCGCACCGTGCGCCACCTGGGCATCCCCAGGCTGCCTTCTCAGCCTTCCTTCCACACCCGCTGCAGCTGGGCCCTGGTGGCTTCCCCTGTATTTGCTCCTGGAGAGTCCTGCCCCCTCCACCGACTTTCCTTCCTGTTGCCCCCCTCTGTCTCGGCTCCCCACAACAAGGCTGCCCAGAAGGGGGCCGATCAGAAAGTGGCAGATCCTTTTCCTTCTGGCCTCTGCTCCCCCACTCAAGAAAGTACCCTCCCCACCCAGACCTGGCCTCCCTGTGTTTAGGACAGACCTCTGGGCCCACATGGCCTTGCCGTTGGGGCCTGCTGATTCAGTGGCTCCAGGTTGGTTGGGGACTTCCTGGAAGTGGGGGAAGGAAGTGATGAGTCACAGGACTGGGTTCCCCCAGCACTTTGGGGCATTGGTGCAGGCTGAGATGAGAGACTTGGGCAGGCTTGTTGTTCAGAAGTTGCAGCAGGCAAGGTGTGGGGTGGGAGGAGCACCTCCTGGCTGTGGGAGATTATCCGCCTGGGCGCCTGGACGCTGCTCTTTTTCCTGGTCACCACACTGCTAGCGTCCGCGCTCGGGGTGGGCTTGGCTCTAGCCTTGCAGCCAGGCGTCGCCTTCGCCGCCAGCAGCTCATTCGGAGCCACGGACGCCGTGGAAGGGGCCTCCAGCGAGGAGGTGCTCTATTCTTTCCTGGATCTTGTGAGGTTAGACCCCGCCCGCCCGGTGGAGGGGAGACGGGGCTACTTCAGCCACGTTAGGGATGGCGGGAGGGACCGCGTGAACAGGGGGAGCTTTGGGTCCTCCACAGCCTGGGCATCTCCAGGGCCCCAGAAGGACACGACGGGACGGATGGTGGGGGAAGCTCCAGCCCTCTGAGGGGTCAGGGTACAGAAGGTGAGGGCACATTGGGGGAGGGAGGCTTTTGAGTATGCGGCCTGGGGCTCTAAGAACCATGAGGGTGATAGGCAACAGTCCTGGACGGAGGAGGAGGAGAAGTGCTCAGAAGGGTCAGGAACACAGACGAGGGTCTCTCCTGAGGGGAGGGGATCCTGGGGGGAACCTGGAAGGGGATCTTTGGGCAGCGAAGGCTCCAGGATAGGGCTTCTGGGTAAAGATCTGAGTCTAGGGTCAGAGGGCTTGGGGCCCCTGAGTAAGGAGTCCCTGGAGGGTCTGAGGACACCCGAGTGACACTCCCCAGGCCCCCTTCCAGCCCCAGAGCTCCTCGCACCGTGCGCCACCTGGGCATCCCCAGGCTGCCTTCTCAGCCTTCCTTCCACACCCGCTGCAGCTGGGCCCTGGTGGCTTCCCCTGTATTTGCTCCTGGAGAGTCCTGCCCCCTCCACCGACTTTCCTTCCTGTTGCCCCCCTGTGTCTCGGCTCCCCACAACAAGGCTGCCCAGAAGGGGGCCGATCAGAAAGTGGCAGATCCTTTTCCTTCTGGCCTCTGCTCCCCCACTCAAGAAAGTACCCTCCCCACCCAGACCTGGCCTCCCTGTGTTTAGGACAGACCTCTGGGCCCACATGGCCTTGCCGTTGGGGCCTGCTGATTCAGTGGCTCCAGGTTGGTTGGGGACTTCCTGGAAGTGGGGGAAGGAAGTGATGAGTCACAGGACTGGGTTCCCCCAGCACTTTGGGGCATTGGTGCAGGCTGAGATGAGAGACTTGGGCAGGCTTGTTGTTCAGAAGTTGCAGCAGGCAAGGTGTGGGGTGGGAGGAGCACCTCCTGGCTGTGGGAGATTAGCTGGGCCCTGGCCGGGCCCTGGCTAGCCTGGGTGGGTACAGGCCAACCTGCAGACAGGCACACCCACCTGAAGGCTGTTTGCATGTGTGGGCTTCTCCCGTGTGCCAAAATACATGTAATTCATACTTGGCCAGCCACTCAGACTTAGCTGGAACATCTCAGAGCCACAAAACTTTATAACCAACTAACACAAGCTGGACACAGGCGCACAGACACTCAGCCACAACTGCAACATCTCACACTGACACATGATCTTAAACCATCTGCCACACACACACCATGTACTGACGTCCCTTTACACAAACAGCCACGCAGTGATGCCACTATGTCAATACACTGAGCACTGCCTGAACACATGTTTGAGAGCACATACTCACACAAACACATCTGCGTGGCGACGGAGCAACACTGTCCCACGTAGGTGAACACTGACGCATACTCCCAGCCAGATACCAATACTATCTCCCGACCCACAGCAAGAGCTGTACACCCACGTCATTGGGGAGAGGGAGCATGCTGAGTGGTTAGGACTAGGCCTGGGTTCAAATCCCCCGCCACCACTTCCTAGCCAGGCAAGTTTCTCCAAGGCTCCCCGGTTCACCTGGGCCTCTGTAAAATGAGGACAATAGTGCGAATCCCAAAGGACTGCTTGAGGATTACATGAGTAGATAGATGCAAAGCACTCACTACAGCTAGTGTAAATGCATTTTGCTGTTATTTCTGTCTCAGTATGAGATCCAGATGGCCAGTGTGTCTGGCTTCGTCACACATTCACTGGGGTTTAATGAATGCTGTTACACACCGAGTCACACTCAGACATGGTCACACACCTGTGGCCACGGAAGCACAGATGTACATTTGTCACACAAACAGCCCCTTGTCGTCCTCTTTCACTGCTTCTTTCTAGCACACCCAGATTTCCCCCCACAGCCTCCCACCCATAACCAGTCCTCAGGGCCAACACTTTTCTCAGCCCTCCCAGCCCTCTGGAGGAAGAGGCTGATGCAAAATGACTAGCGTCTTATGTTAGCCTTGTGGGCTGGAGCTGAGGACCCTGGTGACCCTGCCCAGCCTGTGCTGAGTAGCCAGCATTCCTCACTGCCAATCCACAATCTCTCAGGGCTGGACTACCAGCCTACTGGGGCCCTAGGAGGCCAGCTCAGACTCCCCACACTTTGCATGACTGAACCTGGTGCAGGCATATGTGGGAGCCATATGTGGGTGCAAATGGGACCCCAAAGGCCAAGCCGGCCCCCAGATACTCTCTGACCTCCCACTTTGGTACTAATAACCACCCCCATGTCTATCTCTGCAGAAATGTCTTTCCCTCCAACCTGGTGTCTGCAGCATTCCGCTCAGTGAGTCCGAGGGGTATCCCGAGGGGTGGGTGGTGGGCCAGGAGCAAGACAGCCAGATGCAGCACAGTGTTGCCTGGAAAGGCACACATGCCCACATATTCACAGGCCACACTGCAGGGTTCTTGGGTGGCTCTGAAACCCACCCATGCTCCTTATGTAGAAATGACAATATGAGTTCTGAGACCCTCTGGGTTCTAATTCTAGCTGTGTGACCCCAGGCAAGTGATTCTACCTCTCTCGGCCTTGGTTGATGCCCCTGGAAAATGGAGGTATGAAAGTCCTACCTCAGCAGGGTTGCTGGCAGGATGAAGTGAGGTCATGTTTAAGGGACGCTTAGGTCAGCCTTTGAGCATTGTTAGTGTCAACATGGGGTGGGAGAGTCCTGGTGGCAACTGACACTGACTCTTCTCAACCCCACCTGCAGTATACTACCTCCTATGATGAGAGAGGGATCGACGGAACCAAGGTGAAGGTGAGAGCAGAAGGGGGGATGGGGGGCACACCCCTTGGCATACTGCTGCAGTTTTTCCATTTTATGGTATCCCTCTGCCTTTGTTTGCTCTCAGTGTCTCTAATATTTGGTGTGGAATTTGTTTTAAACTCTGTAGGCCCTTCCGCATTTCTGTCTTTTTTGCCTTTCTGGAGTCTGCATTTTGCCTCCTCTTCCCACTCCCCATGGCCTGGCCCTGGTCCAGGCGTCTCTTTTCTCCCCATCTTACCCTGGCCTGCTCCCAGGCCTGCCCCTCCTCCCCGACCCTCAGCCTGGCAGCCAGGGTAGTCCTTCCAAGGTACAAACCTGACCCTGCCACTCCCTAACCCCCCTAAGCCCTGTCATGCTCCCTAGTCCCTCAGAAAAAAGTCCAGCCTGCTCCTTACCACAGTCCATGGGACCCTGCCCTTGCCCAGCCATCTATGCCTGGCTTGTTCCATTCCAGCCCCAGTGGATTTCTCTATGTCCTTTGAAAGCTCAAGTTGCCCTCATTTTTAGGGTGTTACACACTGTTTCCTCTCTCCAGAACCTTCTACCACCCCTCTTTACCTGGTTCACCCTCCAGTTGTCCAGATCTTAGCCCCTTTACAGGGAGCCCTCCCTGATTCTCCTCCCCACCACCGCCAAACTGGTATCCTTCTCTCAGCTCCTATACTCCCCTGGGTTCCCGTGCCCACTCTGGGTGGTCCCTGATGACAGGTCCATTTCCCTTGCACCTGGACTGTGAGCCTTGGGAGGAAGGGTTCCTAGGTGCTGTTGTGTGCTGGGTCCTAGCAGTATCCAGGAGAGGCCCTCATTGACCATGCAGGGTCACCAATTGTTGCCGTCCTATCCCCATCTGTTCCTTGCCCAAAGGTGCCTGTTGGAGGCGAGGTGGAGGGCATGAACATCCTAGGCCTGGTGGTGTTTGCCATCGTGTTTGGCGTGGCCCTGCAGAAGCTGGGGCCTGAGGGAGAGCTGCTCATCCACTTCTTCAATTCCTTCAATAAAGCCACCATGGTGCTGGTGTCCTGGATCATGTGGTAAGTGGTGGGTGGGGGCTGGGGATGTGGGATGAGGCAAACTTCTATCCTCTCCTTGAAGCCAAATGGGCTGCATCAAATCCAGTGTCGACCATTCCCTGGCTGTGTGACTTTGGGCAAGTGGCCTACCTTCTCTGTGCTTCAATTTCCTCCCCATAAAAGGACACTGTTGTAGTCCATAGAGCTAAGACTGATGCTAGCACCTTTTGGATCCTACTGGAAGATAACAAAGACAGCCAAACTCTGACCACAGCTTAGCTAATGTATCTCAATTTCAGAGATGTAAATGTAATCAAATGTTTGCCTTTGGATGTACGGTGTAAAATAGTGCCTACTTTATAGGGTTATCACAGAGATGAAACGAGTGACTAAGTTACAGTTGGAGCACTTAGAAAGTGCTTTAACTGCCTGGCACCTGAGACCATTCACTTCAGGTTAGCTATGTTGTTAGCCATGAGTCTTGTTACATGACCTCAGATAATGAGGGAAAAGAAGACACGTGCACACACGTCCAACTTTTCACCTTTGCCCATTCCCCAGTTTCATCTCCACACAGTCTCACACTGATTCTCAGGACCTACGCTAGATCTAGAAGGTCAGAAATCGGGAGAGGGACCAGGGTTCCTGCATTTTTAACAAATCGCACACCCCCATCCTCTCTGGTTCCAGTGTAGCTAACATCTAAGCTAACATCTGTGTGGAATGTAGTGCTCCTTGCAGAGTAAAAGCACTTACCAAGAGAGGCTGGGTCGCGACAGCCTGTGTTCCCACTGTGCTGCTGCCACTTCCCAGCTGTGTGCCCTATGACAAGTTACTTATCCTGCTGTGACTGTTTCCCATCTGGAAAATGAGGCTGATTGTCCTGCTGTGACTGTTTCTGTCTGGAAAATGGGGCCTATTGTACCGGGCACAAATGAATTGAAAGTATAAAGCTCTTGAGGCAGTGACTAACCTAAAGAGCATGTCCACAGTAAAATATTTGCTACTATTTATCAAGTACTTTATTTGTACAATTGCTGAACATGTCTTACTGGTCAGAACCAAACCTTAGCTGCACAGGTGGCTGGGAAATGATGCCTTTCTTTTGCTACTAAGGAGAAGTGGTTTGGGAGACAACTGGCCCTGGCAACTGAGCAGTCAGGGAGGCAGTCCTGGGAAGCCTCCTGTTTGGGAGGCACGAACACCCAAGGGAACTCATTTCAGGAGACTGTTATAGTAATCCCAGCTGAAATTTGCAGACCTTGTATTATGTACAAAATGCTTTCAAGTCATTTCAACTGTCATCTCATTCTATCTGACCAACATTCCTATGAGCTTGGTAGCATTAATGTCCCTGTTTTACAGACTTATTAGATTTTGTTTAATTCAACTATAGCTGCAAGAAGCTAAAATAGGAGCTCCCTCATAGTGTCATGGTGAAGATTCAGTCACGTTCAAAGGCTTAGCACATCAGTAATGCTTCAGGTCTGAGAGCTGTTATTAAGACGTGAGCCACAGCCTTTTCATTTTTCATGATGTGGTGAGATTATTATATCAGTTTAAGTCATACTGCCTACTATAGTAAAGGAAACTCGAAAATGTAAATGGCTCCACACACGGTGGATGTTTCTTTCTCCATCATGTGTTAAGTCCAAATCTGCTTAGTGACCTTCCTCCAAGTGGTGATGAAGTCTTTACCTGGTTCACCCTCCAGTTGTCCAGATCTTAGCCCCTTTACAGGGAGCCCTCCCTGATTCTCCTCCCCACCACCGCCAAACTGGTATCCTTCTCTCAGCTCCTATACTCCCCTGGGTTCCCGTGCCCACTCTGGGTGGTCCCTGATGACAGGTCCATTTCCCTTGCACCTGGACTGTGAGCCTTGGGAGGAAGGGTTCCTAGGTGCTGTTGTGTGCTGGGTCCTAGCAGTATCCAGGAGAGGCCCTCATTGACCATGCAGGGTCACCAATTGTTGCCGTCCTATCCCCATCTGTTCCTTGCCCAAAGGTGCCTGTTGGAGGCGAGGTGGAGGGCATGAACATCCTAGGCCTGGTGGTGTTTGCCATCGTGTTTGGCGTGGCCCTGCAGAAGCTGGGGCCTGAGGGAGAGCTGCTCATCCACTTCTTCAATTCCTTCAATAAAGCCACCATGGTGCTGGTGTCCTGGATCATGTGGTAAGTGGTGGGTGGGGGCTGGGGATGTGGGATGAGGCAAACTTCTATCCTCTCCTTGAAGCCAAATGGGCTGCATCAAATCCAGTGTCGACCATTCCCTGGCTGTGTGACTTTGGGCAAGTGGCCTACCTTCTCTGTGCTTCAATTTCCTCCCCATAAAAGGACACTGTTGTAGTCCATAGAGCTAAGACTGATGCTAGCACCTTTTGGATCCTACTGGAAGATAACAAAGACAGCCAAACTGACCACAGCTTAGCTAATGTATCTCAATTTCAGAGATGTAAATGTAATCAAATGTTTGCCTTTGGATGTACGGTGTAAAATAGTGCCTACTTTATAGGGTTATCACAGAGATGAAACGAGTGACTAAGTTACAGTTGGAGCACTTAGAAAGTGCTTTAACTGCCTGGCACCTGAGACCATTCACTTCAGGTTAGCTATGTTGTTAGCCATGAGTCTTGTTACATGACCTCAGATAATGAGGGAAAAGAAGACACGTGCACACACGTCCAACTTTTCACCTTTGCCCATTCCCCAGTTTCATCTCCACACAGTCTCACACTGATTCTCAGGACCTACGCTAGATCTAGAAGGTCAGAAATCGGGAGAGGGACCAGGGTTCCTGCATTTTTAACAAATCGCACACCCCCATCCTCTCTGGTTCCAGTGTAGCTAACATCTAAGCTAACATCTGTGTGGAATGTAGTGCTCCTTGCAGAGTAAAAGCACTTACCAAGAGAGGCTGGGTCGCGACAGCCTGTGTTCCCACTGTGCTGCTGCCACTTCCCAGCTGTGTGCCCTATGACAAGTTACTTATCCTGCTGTGACTGTTTCCCATCTGGAAAATGAGGCTGATTGTCCTGCTGTGACTGTTTCTGTCTGGAAAATGGGGCCTATTGTACCGGGCACAAATGAATTGAAAGTATAAAGCTCTTGAGGCAGTGACTAACCTAAAGAGCATGTCCACAGTAAAATATTTGCTACTATTTATCAAGTACTTTATTTGTACAATTGCTGAACATGTCTTACTGGTCAGAACCAAACCTTAGCTGCACAGGTGGCTGGGAAATGATGCCTTTCTTTTGCTACTAAGGAGAAGTGGTTTGGGAGACAACTGGCCCTGGCAACTGAGCAGTCAGGGAGGCAGTCCTGGGAAGCCTCCTGTTTGGGAGGCACGAACACCCAAGGGAACTCATTTCAGGAGACTGTTATAGTAATCCCAGCTGAAATTTGCAGACCTTGTATTATGTACAAAATGCTTTCAAGTCATTTCAACTGTCATCTCATTCTATCTGACCAACATTCCTATGAGCTTGGTAGCATTAATGTCCCTGTTTTACAGACTTATTAGATTTTGTTTAATTCAACTATAGCTGCAAGAAGCTAAAATAGGAGCTCCCTCATAGTGTCATGGTGAAGATTCAGTCACGTTCAAAGGCTTAGCACATCAGTAATGCTTCAGGTCTGATAGCTGTTATTAAGACGTGAGCCACAGCCTTTTCATTTTTCATGATGTGGTGAGATTATTATATCAGTTTAAGTCATACTGCCTACTATAGTAAAGGAAACTCGAAAATGTAAATGGCTCCACACACGGTGGATGTTTCTTTCTCCATCATGTGTTAAGTCCAAATCTGCTTAGTGACCTTCCTCCAAGTGGTGATGAAGGTGTCTTTTATCTCCCTGCTGCCCTATCTTCAAGGTGAGAGAGCCTGGAGGATGGCAGGGGAGGTGTCAACCTCAGCACACATTGCTCTGGGCACCTCCTGACTATGAGGGGGCTGTGGTCATGCCATGTGCTGGGCGCAGTGCCTGGCCCTGGGTGAGCATGTGGTCAGAAACTGCAATCTGTCTCCTGGGTAATTAGGTATGCCCCTGTGGGCATCTTGTTCCTGGTGGCTGGCATGATCGTGGAGATACAGGACGTGGGGCTGCTCTTCACCATCCTTGGCAAATACATCCTGTGCTGCCTGCTGGGCCATGCCCTCCATGGGCTCCTGGTGCTGCCCCTCATCTACTTCGTCTTCACCCGCAAAAACCCCTACCACTTCCTGTGGGGCATCAGGACAGCGCTGGCCACTGCCTTCAGGACCGCCTCCAGGTGTGGCCTTGGGGTAGGACAGGCCAGGAGTTTTAAGCTAAGGGGCCTGATATGAAGAAGATCCCTGAAATTTTGTATTTGGGGACATCGTATCTGCGTACAGGGAGCATACTTTTCCTAAGTTTCTCAGAAGGTCCTGCCACCCCCAACCTCCACCCCCCACCCCCGCCGCCATAGGAATTTCTAAGGAAGCCACTGCTGTAGAGATTTCGTCCTTCCTCAGAGCCCTCCTCCTCCCTGCCAAGGCCTGGTCCTGGGACGCTGGTGCTCCAGCCTGCATCCAGCCTCTGGGAGCGCCTTCCACCTTCTCTCCTGGGTATCTCACCCGTCTCTGCTCACCTGTCCCCCCAGAACGTGGTCCTTCCCCGCAACGACATCCCCAAGGCAAGGGGAGGTCTGAGGTGCAGTGGGAAGGGGGTGTGGTCCAGTGAGCTCTCAGGCATCACAGGATTTAGGTACGGATTTTGCGTGTATTTTGAAGGGCAGCAGTCTATTCTTCCCCAGGGAGCCCAGGACTCAGGCATGCTGGCATCCTTGCATTCTCGGGGAGCCCTGTTCTGGCCCTGGAGAGGGAAAGGCATGGAGAGCTAGGGAGCTGTTGGGGTGGAGGCCTGTGGGTAGTTGGGGACGGTGTAGGCTGCTGGGCGGAGCCTGGACTGTGAACCGGGCCTGCGTTGGGGGAACCAGGGGCGGGGCAGTCAGGGGGCGCCTCCCGAGATGACTGCAGGGTGGTCCCGTTCCTCACAGCTCCGCCACTCTGCCTGTGATGATGAAGTGCGTGGAGAGGAATGGCGTCGCCAAGCATATCAGCCGCTCCGTCCTGCCCATCGGTGCCACGTTCAACAGGGACGGTGGCGCGCTCTTCCACGGTGTGGCCGCGGTGTTCATTGCACAGCTCAACCACCAGTCCCTGGACTTCGTGATGATCATCACCATCCTGTGAGTGCGGGGTGACTGCTGCTTGTACCCCCGACCCACCTGACCCCTCCCCTGAGAGTAAACTCAGGCTGAGTGGAGCAGGGCTCGGGTGGCAGCTTCTCCCACTACTGAGGCGTCTCTGTGACCTCCCCGCCTTCCCCAGGGTCACCAGTATAGCGTCCAGCGTGGGCAGTGGACGTGTCTTCACGGTGGCCATCATCCTCGAGGCAGTCGGTCTCCCAGCTCATGATGTCTCCTTGATCCTGGCTGTGGACTGGGTTGTGTAAGTGTGGGTTTGTGGCTCAATGTGGGTAAGGGATACCCCTGGGAGAGGAGATGAGCAGGAGGTTCATTGAGCACCTCTGTGCAGAAGAGAGGAAGGAGATCTAGAGAAAAGGGAATGAGAGCTTGAATATTCCAGTCAGAGAGCTGGAAGTGATTTTCGGGGTTCTAAGACGAACTGCAGAAAGGTAACACACACCAGCAGTTACTGAAGTGGATTCTTAGGCCAGGCTGCTGTGTTGAAATCCCATTGCCACCCTTGCTAGCTATTAGTGATCTTGGGCAAGTACTTAATCTCTGTGTCTCAGTTTCACCAACTGTAAAGTGGAAAGACTAGTCTCTGCTTGAGGATTGGATGACGTAATACATGCAACTCCCTTATAACAGTCCCTGGTCAGTAGTAAATGCTACATAATTGTTAGCTATCATGATTAACCTTCTAAGCGCATAAAAGATTAGAAAACAATTTGGTTTCAAAAGTTAGATACAGAGTTACATATGTCTCAGCAATATTCCTCCTAGGTATATACTTGAGAGAATTTAAAAACGTTCACAAAAACTTGTCCATGAATGTTCATAGCAGCATTATTCATAATAACAAATAAACAGGTGGAAACCCAAATGTCTGTCAGTTTATGAATGGGTACATAATGTCACATACCCATATAATGGAATATTATTCAGCAATAAAATGGAATGAAGCTCTGATAAATGTATACATTCATGGATGACCCTTGAAAACACTATGCTAAGTGAAAGAAGCCAGACAGATAGGACCACATACTGTATAGTTCCATTTGTATGAGATGTCCAGAGTAGGCAGATCTATAGACAGAAAATAGATCAGTGGTTACCTAGGGCTGGGAGGAGGGGGAATGGTGGGGTGGGGGTGGGGTGTCACTTGCTTAATGGGTTGTGGAGGTTTCTTTCTGGAGTGGTGAAAAGATCCTGAAATTAAATAGTATTGATGGTTGCACAACTCTGAATATATTAAGAACCACTATAGTGTACACTTTAAGGGTGAATTTTATGGTACGTGAATTATAGCTCCATTTTCTAAAAATGGCACGCACACGCACACATGCACACACATAGTGTAAAAGAGGAAGCAAAGGGAAGATCCTTAGGATTCCAGGGGGTGAGAAGAGCCTGAGGGAGACGTTAGGGTTTCAGGGGGAAGAGGAGAGGTAGATGGGTCTTCTGGGGCCCCAGCAAAAGAGAGGGATGACGTAGGTTCCAGAAGGAACAAGTCTTGTGGTTTGTTGGGAGAAGGATAATTTGGGGTCCAGGGTGGATGGAGGGATGAGCTTCTGGGTCCAGGAGTAGAACAGGCTTCCATGAAGGGTGTGCTGGGGAATTCAAGATTCCAGGGAGCAGGAGGTGGGGCTGAGCCCTGACCTCTCCCCTCTGCTCACTTCCCCATCACTCCTACCCCCTCAGAGACCGGTCTCGTACCATCCTCAATGTGGAAGGTGACGCCTTTGGGGCAGGACTCCTGCAAAGTTGTGTGGATCGCACAGAGTCCCGGAGCCCAGTGCCCGAGCTGATCCAAGTGAAGATTGAAGGCCCCTGACTCCGCTGCCAGTCTACACTGGGGAGGGAAACCCCTTCAATCCCTGTGCTGCAGGACCTGGGAGGGACGCTGACACTTACAAGAGGGAATCCCTCATGTAAGCTCTATGAGTAACCTTCCCTACCCTGACCAGGGGCCCTTTGAACACTGGGATCATGAGGAGGGATGAATAAACAAACTGGGCTCCGGGGGCCCTACCCACACACTCCAGGGGGCCAGGGGCTCCAGCCTCCTCCCTGACATCACATCAGAGAGGCCTCATTGCTGGGATGTATGTATGTGTGTGGGTCTCCCCAAATCTCTCCAGTCCTCAACCCCTGCGTCCACCCAAGGCTAGAAACAGCAAGATGGAGCAGTAGTGTCCTCTGCACCCCATCCCGGGAGCCGGCCTGGCCTCCCTGTCTCGGGGTGCAGGGTGCATGTCACCATACGGATTTGAAGGATGTTTGGACCGGTTGCTGGCCCCTTTGCTGGTTCTTTCAGTGGCTGGCTGGTTTGTGTGTGTGTGTGTGTGTGTGTGTGTGTGTGTGTGTGTGTGTGTGTGTAATTCCTGTGTCAAATGGTATTTCTATTTTAGTTTTGACTGTGACCCTCTCCATATACTTCCCTCTCTGTCCCCAGGCCTTTTGTTCCCTTCACTGTTTTTAAGAGAAACACTCCCTGGAACTCTGGGGACTCAGGGAGAGCAGGACAAGTACTACTGTACTCCAGAGGACAATTTTTTATGGTATCATTAACATATAATCACGTGACCACCATTGTGGTTACTAAATTCTCCCCATTATCAAGTCCTCACCACATACCCCAATACAGTCACTGTGCATCTGTGCAGTAAGATACTATAGAGTCACTACTTCTCTGTGCTAAACTACCTTCCCCATGACTCCCCACGCACTACATTATGTGTGCTAATTGCAATGCGCCTTAATCCCCTTCTCCCTCCCTTCCCACCCACCCTTCCTAGTCCCTTTCTCTTTGGTAACTGTTGGTCCATTCTTGGGTTCTGTGAGTCTGCTGCTCTTTTGTTCCTTTAGCTTTTCCTTTGTTGTTATCCTCTACAGATGAGTGAAATCATTTGGTACTTGTCTTTCTCTGCCTGGCTTATTTCACTGAATACCCTCTAACTCCATCCATGTTGTTGCAAGTGGTATGATTTGTTTCTCTTATGGCTGAATAATATTCCATTGTGTATATGTACCACATCTTCTTTAACCATTCATGTACTGGTGGACACTTAGGTTGCTTCCATTTCTTGGCTATTCTAAATAGTGCTGCAATAAACATAGGGGTCTTTTTGAATCTGGGCTCCTGTATTCTTGGGTAAATTCCTAGGAGTGGAATTCCTGTTTCAAATGGTATTTCTATTTTAGTTTTTGAGGAAACTCCATACTGTTTTCCACAATGGTTGAAATAATTTACATTTCCACCAGCAGTGTAGGAGGGTTCCCCTTTCTACACATCCTTGCCAGTAGTTGTTTGTCTTTTGGATATTGGCCATCCCAACTGGTGTGAGGTGGTACCTCATTGTGGTTTTAATTTACGTTTCTCTGATGATTAGTGATGTAGAGCATCTTTTCATGTGCCTCTTGGCCATCTGCATTTCTTCTTTGGAGAACTGTCGATTCAAATCCTCTGCCCATTTTTTAAATGGACTATTTGCTTTTTGTTTGTTGAGGCATGTGAGCTCTTTATATATTTTGGATGTCAACCCCTTATCGGATATGTCACTTATGAATATATTCTCCCATACTGTAGGGTGTCTTTTTGTTCTGTTGATGGTGTCCTTTGCTGTACAGAAGCTCTTTAGTTTGATATAGTCCCCCTTGTTAATTTTTGCTTTTGTTTCCTTTGCCCAGGGATATATGCTCATGAAAAAGTTGCTCATGTTTATATTCAAGAGAGTTTTGCCTGTGTTTTCTTCTAAGAGTTTAATAGTTTCATAACTTACATTCAGGTCTTTGATCCATTTTGAGTTTACTTTTGTGCATGGAGTTAGACAGTAATCCAGTTTCATTCTCTTACATGCAGCTGTCCAGTTTTTCCAACATCAGCTGTTGAAGAGGCTGTCATTTCCCCATTGTATATCCATGGCTCTTTTATCATATATTAGTTGACCATATATGCTTGGGCTGGGGACATTTTAAAGTAATAAAATTGTCAAGCATATCTCATCAGCTGTTTTTAAGAATTTGACTAAAAGCACTAGCTGCACAAAAAAACAAAACCCAAACATGGTAAGGTGGACTTCATTGAAATAAACTATTTGTTCATCAAAAAACACCATTGTCAACCACAGTGAGCTACCACTCCTACACACACTTATCAAAATGGCAAAAAAAAATTCGAATGCTGCTGAGGATGTGGAGCACCTGGACAGCCCACATGTGGCTGGCGTGAATACAAAGTAGTCCGGTCACTTTGGAAAATCACTGGGCAGTTGCTTATCAAGTTAAAATATACATATGCCCTACAGCTCAGGAGTTCCACTGCTGGGTATTTGTCCAAAAGAAGTGAAATCCTGCTCATAAAAATACCGATATACCAGTATGTATAGCTGCTCTCTCTATAATTGCCAACATTTGGAAATGAGTCAGTTGTATAAACTGGCAGAGTCCTAAGTACGATGGAAACTACTCAGCAAGAATAGAGTATTGATGTGCTACTTAGATGCATCTCTCAGATAATATTTTGAGTGAAAGGAGCTGGAAATAGCACATACTGTACATTTCCATTTATATGAAGATCTCGAACAGGTTAAACTGTCCATGGGGAGAGCAACTGGAACAGTGGTCTTCCCTGTTTCAGGGGAGTTGCCTTCTAGGTAGGGCAACTTAGTGGCTAGGAGGGCAACTTAGTGACTAGGAGAGGACACAGGGCAGCCTTCAGTGATAACAGCAAATGTTCGATATCTTGATATGGGTTCTGCTTACACAGGTGTATATATTCAGGAGAATTACCCTGTACACTTAAAATGTGTGCATTTTATCCTATGAATATCATCTTCTAATTAAGAATTTTGCACAGCTCATGGTGGGAATTCATTTTCCACCATAATCACCTATGTGGGAATGCAAGATTCCCTTGGTAGCTGAAGTCTGACTTCCAAATCATCCCCAACAATGACATGCTTTTTTTAAATTCACAATTTGCTATTTGAATTAAAAAACTACTCTGCAACTGCTGAACTCCTATAGATATCCAGGATATGGATGACACCAGGTGCGGCTCACTTGTCTGAGCAGGATCCTGTCTTGCACACTGCTGCAGCGTATCACACACTACTGATACTATGGCCCCCAACTTTGGTCCCTAAGTAGACTTCTGCTAGGTTCCTAGAGGCAGCACCAATTTGGGTTCCGTTATAGATGGTATCTTTAGTATCTTTAGCATCATTTTTCAATTTATTTAGTTACATCTCATGATCATTGCAGTACAGAAGGAAAATATAATTCATATCTGGTTCTGGGCAAAATTGTGTATTGCACACAGCATAACCACTAATGAGTTTGTTAAGTGTTGAATAACTTAGTCACTGAGATTTCCACTGCTTTCTAGTGTGCCAAAGTCCCTCGTGGGTTGTTATGTAAGTGTTTAAGATTGTTTTAATGATACATGGGGAAATCAGTTGGGGTTTTGGGTGGAGCAGTGAAGGCATCGTTTTCCCTGCTTAAGATAGTTACTATTTAATGCTTTGTTGGAAGTGCCTTAGATTTAGAATTTGAGGGATGCCTATTTAAAAAGGTGCATACCTGCAGATGTAATATATTGCATATACAATCTGTATACACAATATGTGTCCATACAAAAACACTGTAACTGGGCTAAATTCCACCAAACAATACCTACCCACTTTTTTCTCTGCCATTTAAAAAATTTGTTGGGCACATGCAACTGATTTGCCTAAAATGCTGATCTCTGTTATACAGAAAGATGGAACCATCCCAACCTACCCAGGGTGGACCGGGGTTTCAGTGGCTCCCAGACCTGGCCTCCACTAGGATGTGATCACTCCATGAGGGAGCCACCTTTGTCCTGTTCACTACCATATGCCCAGCACAGCATGGGACTCACCCTCTGGTGACAATGGCGATATATTACCCAAAGGCCACTGGTGAAGGTTACATAAGAACAGAGGAAAAGCACCTGGACAGCACTCTGGGGCGGGTCTCCCACCTCGCCCTCCCTTCCTCCATTGCGCCACCCACTCCTATTACTGGGACACTCTTCTTGCTCTTTTGAAGGAACCTGACTTGGGAGGGAGGCTCAGGCTGGTCTTGGGTTGGGCTTGGACCTGAGTTCTGGACTCAGAATATCAGTATGGGGGGCAGGCAGGCACAGGCTAATGACTCAGCGTCATCCCTTGTAGAGAATGATCAATATATCTAGGCTTGTTGAACTGCCCTCTCAGTCTGCTTTCTTTGGGGGGCGGGGATCAATCTTATTGAGGTGTAATTTGATACAATAAACTGCATTCATTAAAGTCAACAATTGGCGTTTTGACAGATGCATATGCTCATGAAAAACCACAACTTAGATACACAATATTCCCACCACCACCAAATTTCTTCCTGCTCCTTTGCAGTCTGTCCCACCCTCCACCGCAGGCCCAAGCAACCACTGAGCTGCTTTTGGTCACTAAGGATCAGTTTGATCTCTTCTAGAATTTCACATTGGTGGAATCATACAGTATGTAGCTTTTTGCATCCTATTTCTTGTACATTGCACGATGCTTTTGAGATCTAGTCAAGTTCTTGCATGTATCAATAGTTAATTCCTTTTTTATTTTTTTTAATCACCAAAGAGTATTCCATTGTCTGGATGCACCACTTGTTTACTCACTCACTTGTTAACAGACATTGGTGGGTTCCAGTTTGGGGCCCTTGTATATAATGTGTGTTGTACATAGATCTTTGAGTGGCATTTACTTTTCATAAGTAATGTTTTCTAATGCGCAGGGCGATGAGGCATACACAAAGTATTTACTACTTGGTCAGGCTATCAGTCCCCCCAACAGCATCTGGGACATGGTTCCCCTTCCCTACCGCTGTGCCCATTGTGAGCACCTCTGTCTCTGGGTGTGAGGAGGTTCAGTGTGTCCCCAGGAAGAGCCAGAAGGGAAATAATAGGGAGCTCTTGGCAGTGACATTGACCAAAAACAGTAATCAATAATGTTTTCATGTTTTCCCCATTGGCATGGCCATACCAGTGCCTGGGCTGCCTTGAAGGCTGGCTCTGGGAAAGTCCTCTTGGCTCTCCTGAAATGAACTACATGGACAATATGACCTGCACATGATTTTAAAAACAATCTCTACATGGCTCTAACTGTAATAAAAAGGAGAAATAACAGGATAGACATTTATAATATGCATTTCAATATATGAATGTGTGGGGCCACCTCTGAGGACCCAAGGAGGTAGCCAGATGTTTATACCTGTAATGCATGCAGTTCTCATCATGGCTGGAAATATGGAGTATCAGTGTCTAATTATCACAGGCCATGTGAAATGTGATTTTCCAAGACTGTTGACAATCTTTGGCTAAGTTTTGAACAAAACACATATAAGCTACCCTCATTTAACATGGTAGTGGCACTTCTTGGAAAATTCAGAACCTATTAAAACCTTACAAAGAGGACGTTGCATGAGGAGAAAATTAGTTCCTGAGCTCAGATAATTCTTAAACTGATTTTTCCAAATAACCTTAAAACTTAAGTCAGTATGCACTGGTAGGGATGTGTTGGTTAAAATACTGAAGTGCTTCAGTTCTGACTGGTTAATAGTACAAAAGTAATTGAGCAAACAGTAAAATTCAAAAATATATGTTCTGATATAA